CAGAAAAAGCCCTCAACCTGCGGCAGGACACAAGGGCCCTCCGGAGGATGTCGACCTGCACGGTCAGGACCGCGATGAGAATAATCGGGCGGATGACAGCGGCAATTCCAGGGGTGCAATGGGCGCAACTTCACTCCAGGGTGCTGCAAAATCACACCCTTTCCCACTGGGACGGCAGCCGAGCAGGTCTGAGTTCCAGGATCCGCATCACGCACGAAGTGAAGGAATCGCTAAGGTGGTGGGGAAGCAGCCTCACCTTGGAACGAGGAAGAAGTTGTAGGCTGGCCAACCCACTGCGGATCACCACGGATGCAAGCATGACTGGTTGGGGCGCCCATATGGAAGACGGCCTGGCCCAGGGCACGTGGAGTGCAGTAGACTCCAGCAGGTCGTCAAATTACAGGGAGCTGCTGGCAGTTTTCAAGGCACTTACGACCTTTCAGGAAAGGATAAGGGGGAGAGGTGTCCAGATTCTCTCCGACAATACCACTGCAGTGGCGTATTTGAACAGGCAGGGAGGCACAAGGTCCCCAAGGCTGATGGATTTGGCCGGATCCCTCCTGAGCTGGGCGGAGGAAAACCTGGAGTTCATCACGGCAGTACATCTGAAAGGGGACCTGAACCAGTTGGCGGATCAACTGAGCCGAAGAGAGGTCATCCAGACAGAATGGTGCCTCAGCCAGTCAGCGTTCGATCAGATTTGCGCCAGGTGGGGCTCCCCCTCTATCGATCTATTTGCCAACGGCCAGAACACAAAGCGGGAAAGGTACTTCTGCCTGCAGAAAGACCCCAAAAGCGAGGGGATAGATGCGCTAGCCCAGCAGTGGGAAGGAGACCTCCTTTATGCCTTCCCCCCATTCAGACTACTGCCGAAGGTGATTCAGAAGATCCGGGTGTCTCAGGCCAAAGTTATTCTGATCGCGCCATTCTGGCCCAAGAGATCTTGGTTCTCCCGGCTGAAGGAGCTCAGTTTAGCAGACCCTTGGATGATACCACCCACGCGCGATTTACTCAACCAAGGGAGGGTGATGCATCCTCATCCAGAAAGGCTGTCCTTAGCGGCGTGGCTTCTGAGCGGGACAGGCTAGCGGAAAAGGGGCTCTCGGCAAGAGTGGTCGCTACCCTTTTGGATGGCCGGAAGAGGTCGACGAACGCCTTGTACGACAAGGTCTGGAAGAAGTTTTCCGCCTGGAAGGTCAGAAACGAAGCACCGGGCACGCCCATTTTGCATACAGTTCTTGAATTCCTTTTCAAGCCGGGGCGGATAAGAGTCTGGCCGCCAATACCCTCAAAGTACAGGTAGCGGCTCTGTCGAACTTTCTCGAGCTGAGGTTGGCGGCAGACCCATTAGTAATCAGATTCCTGAGGGCTATCTCCAGGCGCCGTGCCCCGTCCTTGCCAAAACTTCCATCATGGGACCTGGGCACAGTCCTGAAGAGCTTTCAGCGGGGGCCTTTCGAACCGCTGGATGAATGTTCGCTCAGATCTTTGACTCTTAAAACCATCCTCCTCACGGCACTAGTTTCTGCCCGCAGGGTCAGCTAGTTGCATGCCCTTTCAGTGATCGAGCCGTACTGCACCATCTTATTGGATAGAATCATCCTCCGCACGGACGCGGCCTTCCTACCTAAGGTCGCGTCACACTTCCATAGATCTCAGGAAATAGTAATACCTTCCCTGGAGGCCGATCCGGGCAGCGCGGAGGACTGTAGCAGGTTAGACGTAAGACGGTGTTTGATCACGTACATCGAACGCACAAAGACATGGAGACGCTCGTCCCGGCTTTTCGTCCTATTCCAGGGACCAAGGAAGGGGGACGGTGCCTCCAAGGGCACCATCGCCAGATGGATCAGAGAGGCAGTTTCGGAAGGTTACAAGTCGGCAGGCCTGTCACCACCGCCCGGCCTAAAAGCCCACTCCACAAGGGCCACTGCGGCCTCCTGGGCGGAAAAAAAGGGGGGCCTCCCCCGGACAGATCTGCAGAGCCGCGACGTGGTCCAGTTTCGCCACCTTCACTAAACATTACAGGCTGGATCTGATCGGCAGCAAGGACCAGGCATTTGGCAGGAAGGTCCTACAAGCAGGGTGCCCGCCCTAATGTACGTATTTCTATTCTACTCCTCTCAAGTGAGCTGTCCTAGAAGATGACTCGGGAAAACGCAGTTATTTACCTGTTAACTGTATTTCCAGGAATCTTCTAGGACAGCGTAACTCCCCCCCCGATTACTGTTTGATCACACGATTATGTGCAGGTATGTTGCGAACCTATGGGGGATATCTTTATTACTGGTTTTCTTCTTTGTTTTTCTCCTAGGCCTTCGGTCATATTCTTATACTGGGGGCCAATGGGAGAGAGGACGCCTATAAAGGGGAAAAAAAAGGTGGAGCGGGTGTTTCCTGGGAGGAGCCCTATCTCTCAAGTGAGCTGTCCTAGAAGATTCCTGGAAATACAGTTAACAGGTAAATAACTGCGTTTTTTATTTTACTGGACATATTTTATATCAAAAGGAAAAAAAAGTTTTTTTTTTTTCCAAAATTGTGGGCATTTTTTTGTTCATAGCGCAAACAAATAAAAACGCACATGTGATCAAATACCACCGAAAGAAAGTTCTATTTGTGGGGGAAAAAAGGACATTGAATTTATGTACACCATTGCATGACCGCGCAATTGTGAGTTAAATTAACGCAGCGCTGTATCGCAAAAAATGGCCTGGTCAGGAAGGGGGGTAAATCCTTTGGAGAGCAAATGGTTAAAGGAAAGATTTGTGGACTCCGTGTATGTGCAGTATTAATTTGACCATTACAGCTCCTAATGCAGGCCATAGATGGGGAGAAAAACTGCAGATTTTTCTTTTAAAAAACGAAAAATCGGTTGTTCAAGTGGCCGACGTTACCATCAATGGTAAAAAAAAATCGGCCGATTTTCTACCCGTCTAGAGCCGGCAAAAAGTGTCCCTGCAGAGAGCTCTGCTATTTCTTTGACAGTTCTCTGACAGTTCCTTGACATTTATAGAAGTTGCAACAATGTATCTATTTGTTTCCATTTAGGATACAGATGTTTTTATTCGGAAACAAATAGATACAATGTTTCAACCGCTGTAAATGTCAAGGAACTGTCAGAGAACTGTCAGAAATAGCGGAGCTCTCTGCAGAGACACTTTTTGCTGGACTGGAATTCTTCTTATTTTCATCCTACTTCTTCTTATTCTTATTCTTCTTCTTCATCCTCATCCTCTTCTTCTTCTTCTTCTTCATCCTCATCCTCTTCTTCTTCTTCATCCTCATCCTCTTCTTCATCTTCATCCTCATCCTCTTCTTCATCCCCATCCTCTTCTTCTTCATACTCATCCTCTTCTTCTTCTTCTTCTTCTCCTCCTCCTCCTCCTCCTTCTTCCTCATCCTCTTCTTCATCATCATCCTCATCCTCTTCATCCTCATCTTCTTCTTCCTCATCCTCTTCTTCTTCTTCCTCATCCTCTTCTTCTTCTTCTTCTTCATCCTCATCTTCTTCTTCTTTTTTCTTCATCCTCATCCTCTTCTTCATCATCATCCTCCTCCTCTTCTTCTTCTTCATCCCTCATCCTCTTCTTCTTCTTCTTCCTCATCCTCTTCTTCTTCTTCTTCTTCCTCATCCTCTTCTTCTTCTTCCTCCTCCTCCTCCTCCTCCTCCTCCTTCTTCCCCTTCCCCTTCCTCTTCCTCTCATCCTCCTCCTTCTCTTCTTCTTCATCCCTCTTCTTCTTCTTCATCCTCTTCTTCTTCTTCATCCTCTTCTTCTTCTTCTTCCTCTTCTTCTTCTTCATCCTCTTCCTCTTCTTTTTCTTCTTTTTGTCTTCCTCTTGCAGGTCACTGCTCATGCGCAGATTTTTTTATCGGTAAAAAATCGGCCGATTTGCCCACTAATTGCCGATCGGCAAAATCGGCCGATTTTTTTTTCCAACTTTACCGAAAAACAAAAACGGCCAAAATACCGAAAAACGGCCGACCAAATCGCCCACTAACGATCCGAAAATCGGCCGATTTTATTTTCGGCCGAAAAATCGGCCGATTTTCGACCCTTCTATGGCCTGCATAACTCTCAGATGCGTCAGGCTTGTTTTAAAGGTATGTTCAAGCCAGCGGGCATGTATCACGGATCAATGTGTTGTTACCATACACTGCACTGTTTATTTGTTTTTTTCCCCTCCTTTAATACCACAATTGCATTTCAGTCAGCTTTTGACAACAGCCCATTGCAACATGCTGCTACATGTGTTTTGCTGTGTAACATGTAGACATGTTGCACTTGTATGCAGCATACAGTAACGCACATGTATGATGTAAACAGGACACATGGGAACAATTATTTTTCATGTGTCCCTGTGTTAAACCCGCATTGATAACGCACCCAGTGTGAACAAGCCACTAAGTTATAAGTACTTGATGACTGGTTTGTTTAAGGTTGGGGCAAGGATGAGCTAAGGGTTTTTGGGACACTAGTCCAATCCTACCTGATTTATCTTGTAAGGAAACACTGAACACTCAGTTCAATCAGCCAATAATCTGAGGGGCGGAGGCATACCCCCACACCACATTTGCACGTATACATGCGACTGCGCAGTGTGCACTGTGACTGCTGCTTATGATTGGCTGTCCACAGTGACAGCTTCCTGGAGGGATCGTTCAGGCAGGTCCAAACACACCTGATCTCATCCACAATTGTGAATATGTGTTACATTATCAGTAGTGTTGTTCATAAAAATATGCAAAACATTCTGGACAGTTACTGTTACTTTGAGTATAGTGAAAAATTTTTTTTTTTTTCTTTTAATCTTGTAAAAAATTACCAGTGTGTTGCCTATGTAATCCAGTCATGTAAGAAATCAGACATGATTTGTAGCACAGATACTTGCAGTCTGAAATTTTGGAAGAGGAAAATTTTGGAAAATCTGGACAAGGATCAAGGGTATGGTTTACAGTATTCAGTAATAATTATCTGCATTTGTTTCTCTTTGGTTTGCAGAATAGTGACAAAGTAAAGGAAGATGTCAAGAAGAGACGGTCAGATCAGTCTGATGTACCCACAAGCTTACGACAGGAGGTGGAATTCTTGTATAAGCTTACCATGCCAGAAGATTTCTATACGTTCTGGACGTTTTGCACAGAGATTGACCCAAAGACACCCTCTGGTAATAACAGGCTCTGTTTTTTATTTTGCCTTGTTTGAAAAGGTGAAATCCACCTAATTTAAGTATAATAAATATTTACTCACTTCTGTACCTTCAGTTCTGCAGTCCGGTTTTCTGTTTATTCAGGGTTTATTATAAACATAAATGTCAAAGAGAAGGCACATGCAGAATAATAAATAGTCTTTTACAGCTAAAGCAGTTGCACACTACAATGCAATAACTATCGGTGTTGCTTTTTAAATTTTGTAATATCTTAAGCTATCCATAAGACAGAGAAAGCGAACAAGTAAAAATGTTTGTTTTGGTATGCTTGTGTGGAAGACATCACCAGAGTGAAGAAATATAGCTATTTGTTAGGAAAAGTGTGGTTATTTTATAGGACCAATATAGCATATTTGTAGACTGTGTTTGAACAGGCCTTTTTATAGAGGAGATCAGTAAAGAATGATAGACTAGCAACAAAAGGTAGTCCTTTGATATTGGACCTGCACATGTATAAAGGGTGTGTAACCATCCCGCCTCTCTGACTCAGCCAGTAATTGCTTTCTATGAATAGCTGAGCCCCGCTCAGACGGATCTGATTGAGTTCCGAGTATGAGACAGGAAGATCTCGTCTTGCACCCAGAACACAGTGCTGTGTGTAGCCTCAGCTGCATACAGTACATCCAGCGGCCTCACATGTTAGTAAGAGACATAGTTCGTTTCGGCCAGCTTGGCCCAAACAAACTATGTAAAGTACCAACAGCTGGAGATCAGCTTTAAGAGATCTTGTGCTAAGGGCAAGTATATCTCTAAATATAGTCAGGAGTCCAGTGAGATTGCATCTAAATGTGGAGTTGGGGAAACTTATTTAATTTGAATTCTCAAAAGAGAAATATGTTAACCTGAATTTAGGACCTTTTCTTCTGAAGATGCTAGTAACCTAGATATTCTGCTTTCAGGTGGACAAGTACAGAGCTAAGAAATTCCAACATTTTTCTGATACCCCTATAGAGTATTGAAGTCATAAACAGCTGGGAAACTTAGCATTTTCAGAACAAGGACAGCATTGGTAGCCTATTTCTCTAGTAGTATGTAAGACAATTAGCATATTTCTTTTCCCAATATAAAGGTAGAAATCACAAATTGCGTCAGTGCAATGTTTCAAGGCCACATGGGATCTCTTCATCATCCTTGTGATGTGCTGGCGACCTACAGTCAGGTCCATAAATATTGGGACATCAACACAATTCTAACATTTTCGGCTCTATACACCACCACAATGGATTTGAAATGAAACGAACAAGCTGTGCTTTAACTGCAGACTGTCAGCTTTAATTTGAGGGTATTTACATCCAAATCAGGTGAACGGTGTAGGAATTACAACAGTTTGCATATGTGCCTCCCACTTGTTAAGGGACCAAAAGTAATAGGACAGAATAATAATCATAAATCAAACTTTCACTTTTTAATACTTGGTTGCAAATCCTTTGCAATCATTTACAGCCTGAAGTCTGGAACGCATAGACATCACCAGATGCTGGGTTTCATCCCTGGTGATACTCTGCCAGGCCTCTACTGCAACTGTCTTCAGTTCCCGCTTGTTCTTAGGGCATTTTCCCTTCAGTTTTGTCTTCAGCAAGTGAAATGCATGCTCAATCGGATTCAGGTCAGGTGATTGACTTGGCCATTGCATAACATTCCACTTCTTTTCCTTAAAAAAAACTCTTTGTTTGCTTTTGCAGTATGCTTTGGGTCATTGTCCATATGTACTGTGAAGCGGCGTCCAATGAGTTGTGAAGCATTTGGCTGAATATGAGCAGATAATATTGCCCGAAACACTTCAGAATTCATCCTGCTGCTTTTGTCAGCAGTCACATCATCAATAAATACAAGAAACCAGTTCCACTGGCAGCCATATATGCCCACGCCATGACACTACCACCACCATGCTTCACTGATGAGGTGGTATGCTTAGGATCATGAGCAGTTCCTTTCCTTCTCCATACTCTTCTCTTCCCATCACTCTGGTACAAGTTGATCTTGGTCTCATCTGTCCATAGGATGTTGTTCCAGAACTGTGAAGGCTTTTTTAGATGTCGTTTGGCAAACTCTAATCTGGCCTTCCTTTTTTTGAGGCTCACCAATGGTTTCCATCTTGTGGTGAACCCTCTGTATTCACTCTGGTGAAGTCTTCTCTTGATTGTTGACTTTGACACACATACATCTACCTCCTGGAGAGTGTTCTTGATCTGGCCAACTGTTGTGAAGGGTGTTTCTTCACCAGGGAAAGAATTCTTCGGTCATCCGCCACAGTTGTTTTCCGTGGCCTTCCGGGTCTTTTGGTGTTGCTGAGCTCACCGGTGCGTTCCTTCTTTTTAAGAATGTTCCAAACAGTTGTTTTGGCCACGCCTAATGTTTTTGCTATCTCTCTGATGGGTTTGTTTTGTTTTTTCAGCCTAATGATGGCTTGCTTCACTGATAGTGACAGCTCTTTGAATCTCATCTTGAGAGTTGACAGCAACAGATTCCAAATGCAAATAGCACACTTGAAATTAACTCTGGACCTTTTATCTGCTCATTGTAATTAGGATAATGAGGGAATAACACACACCTGGCCATGGAACATCTGAGAAGCAAATTGTCCCATTACGTTTGTTCCCTTAACAAGTGGGAGGCACATATGCAAACTGTTGTAATTCCTACACCGTTCACCTGATTTGGATGTAAATACCCTCAAATTAAAGCTGACAGTCTGCAGTTAAAGCACATCTTGTTCGTTTCATTTCAAATCCATTGTGGTGGTGAAGAGAGCCAAAAATTGTTCGATGAATTGACTGTATGTTGTTGTTTATGTCCCAATAGATCAGTTTTTGCATAAATCTTTCGTCATAAATGTAGGCCAAAATGACTGTATCGTTATATTATTTAGTCTGTGTAAGTTATAAGGTGGTGTGTGTTAAAATCACGCGTGCATTTTCAGGTGCAGTACAACGTAGATACAGTTTTTAAATACATTTTTCAAAATTTTTTTTTTTTTTATTCACTTAAGCAATTGTATGTGGTATTTAGGTCATCTTTCGTCCCAAATAAATGTAGGCCAAAAAAACCGCTGTATTTAGTACTCTACATTCATGTATGTGTGTTTAAAAATATATATATATATATATTTATATATATATATATATATATACCAAAATTGTTGGCACCCTTGAATTTTTCCTGGTATTTCACACAAAAAAGGTATTGCATTATTTTTGTCACATGTGTAATGTATTGGAACAAATATAAAACAGAGGCAGAAAAGCAAATTAGTCACACAAAACCCCAAAAATGGGCTGGACAAAGTATTGTTAACTTAATATTTGGTGTTTGTGAAATGTCGTGTGTTCTGACACCTGTCTTCCTTTGCAAACAGCTCCAGGTCTCTCTTATCAGTCCTTTTCCCAACAGACTCTCCACAGGTTCACCTCATTGACTTCAGGTTCTTTGCCATGTGTGTTTGGGGTCATTGTTTTTTTGTTTTTTGCCTTGCACATACTTTCAGCAGTGTATGTTTGGGGTCATAAGACCCAGGATCTTGACCAAACCCAAGCTTCTGAACGTTGGGGATACTGGTTGGTGACAGTATGAATTAAAATAAATACAAGTTTTTGGCAAAATGTGTTTTTTTTTTTATTCACTTAAGCATAGCGTTTCATTTCATTTAAATGTCGACGGATGTTCGCGCTGATTGATGGTCAGGACTTGAATGTCACATTTTTGCCCAAATATCGCATTGCAATATGAAAACGTGCCATGGGTTGCAAACTTCTTGATAATGTTGCGCATGTGCCAAAGGCAAATCTAGTTCTTGGAGATGGACTGTAACCTTGAGATTGTTGATATTTTGCCACAATTTTGGTTCTCAAAAGTTCTCGTCTCCTCTTTCTGTTGTCCAGCTTAGTGTGGCACAGACAGACACACAATGCAAAGGTCTCTCCTTTTTATTGCTTTCACCCACACCTGTTACTTCCCCACCATGCCATTCTATTTATCCGCAGTAAAGGGTGCAATACTTTTGTGCAGGGGTTTTGTGTGACTGCGCTTTCTTTCCTCCCTTTTTTTGTTTTGTCCCAAATCATGTAAACATGTGTGCAAAACATTGTTAATGCAATACGTTCGTGAGAAATACATGATTTCCTGGAGAAATATCAAGGGTGCCAACAATTTCGGCCATGACTGTATATATATATATATTATATATATATATATATAAAAAGTGATTTGCATTTCCGGGTAGGGATCATGCGCGCCGTCAATGGTGGTTAGCGATGTCAATCACCGGGTCCCATACGGAGTTTCCCTCTCTGGCACCCAGCGATCTTCGGGGAAAGCTGACAGGGAAGATACCTATATGTAAACAACACGGGTCTCTCTCCTGCCAGCAAGGACATGCTGCTTTTTACAAAGCGTCACGTTTCCATAGTAAAATACACACCGCACATATGTAAAGCAGCACACAGTTAACCCGTTGATCGCCACAGATGTTAACCCCTTCCTTGCCCAGTGTCATTAGTACAGTGTCTGTGCTTTTTGATTGAAATGATCTCCAATCCCAAAGGATGCCAATTTTGGGGAATCGTGTCGGAGGGGTGTCTTTCTGTGACGTCAGCATGCATCAGCCGACGGACTGGCACCGTGGCTGACTTGTTTTTTTCCACTGCTCTCTTTGTACTCAACCGAATGTAAGTGCATTATTTTAGCTACAATAAATTTCTACTTTTTAATGGGGTTGTACTATGACGTTTTTCTTGTCTAAACCCTTCCATATATTACTGCGGAGAGTGGTTTGAAGTGGGTAAACCGGTTCCTGGTGTGACAATGCAGTTATCTATCCATCCCCCCTGGATTTGCCAGTGAGAGAGTTTGGACACTATCCGCCCAAGAGATAGCTTAAGATCAATTTGGTTCAGTAAGAGGCTTGTCTGTTATTTCTAAGGAGCACCTTTTGAGCGCGGCAGCACTTTTTTGGAAGCCGAGTTCAGCACGCAGCACGGTTTCTTCACATTGGATTGGGGAAAAATAAAAATATACATATTGTGTGTGTGTGTGTGTGTGTGTATATATGTATGTATATGTTTTTGCACTGTATATCATTTATTTAATGGTGTATATTTTGTAGGTTTTTGTATTGTTATATGCACATTATTTGATAACATATGAATTCTAGTTTGCTCATAAATGTTCTCATATGGTTTATTTTTAAGTGAACAGCGCACTATTATATGTGTTGCAATTATTCATTCTGGTATTCAGGAAGGTAGTAGCAGCAGTTCACTTTACATTCATTCACATATTTTCATTTATTTATTTGGATTTCATCATGTGATATTGGGCTTAGCACAGGATGTTTTCTTTTTTCAAGTAATGCAAAGAAACCTAAATCTGCAATAACTAAAACAACCCCAATGATTCTTTTTTTTAAGTTTTGGACAGCGTGGAGATGGATTAGAACACCTGTTGGGCTTTTATTGCTGTCTGTGCCTTTAGAGAGATTCACCCACTTTTTGTTCTGTTTACCATTATCACTGAAAGTGAAAGTAAAAGAAATTTTGGGTTGTTCACAGAAAAATAAGGGGAAATCTTATAATGGGCACAGTGCTTCTGGTGACCGAGGGGACCCCAAGGGATTCCTGTTGTGGCTATGATACAGGAAATGTAGGTAAAATGGGACACGGTGAAAAAAATTAAGGATTATAACCTTCCCTTACTCTATCCAAAATGCAAAAAAATTGTTTGCCCATAGTTCTACTTTAAAGCAAATAGACTGTGCACTTTGCGAGTTTCACCAGAGCTTAGTAAAGGAGATAGAGCTTAACTTTAAAAATAATTCCCTAATCACATGTAAAAAAAAATGTAAAGAAAAAAGCATTTTTCCTTGCACATGATTGGATGATGGAAGTCAGCAGAGCTTCCCCTCATTTACTAAGTTCTGGATCAATGGCACTTGCAAAATGCTCAGTCTTTGTGCATTTTGGTAAATCCACCCCAATACATGCATTAAAACAGGGCTCGACAAATCCCAGGCTCCAGGTTGCCTTGGTGACTAGAAATTGCGTCCTGGCGCCTATGTTTACCCACTGACTTCAATGGGAAATCGGGAAAATTATTTTCAATGGCGCCTAAAACATGGTGTGGTTTTGCTGTGATTGTCATGTGGCAAATCGCATCATGTGAAGTCCCGAGCGCTGACAACCAACGCTACGCTAAAAAAACTGGCTCCTAACTTTTTTAGCTGGCTCAGAGATTCAAAGCAAATTTGTCAAGCCCTGTAGTAAAATTGTCTCCTGTCATTTCACCAGATATTTTTGTGTAATATACAAGCATATACAGTGCATTCATAAAGTATTCAGACCCTCTCACTTTTTTCAATTTTGTTATGTTGCAGCCAGATTTTACAGTTTACATTTTTTTTTTCTCTCTCTCAATTAATCTACACTCGGTACCCCATAATGACAAAGTGAAAACAGAATTTTAGAAAGTTCGGTGAATTTATTAAAAAAAAAAAAACCTGAAATATCACATGTACTAAGTATGTACCTTTACTCGGTACTTTGTTGAAGCACCTTTGGCAGCAATTACAGCCTCAAATCTTTTTGGACATGATGCACACACCTTGTATTGGGGGGTTTTCTGCCTTTCTTTGCAAATCCTCTCAAGCTCAGTCAGGTTTGATAGGGACCATTGGTGGACAGACATTTTCAGGTCTCCAGAGATGTTCAATAAGGTGTGTGACCAGAGCAATACAGTGTTACCATAGTGACACTGTACTACTCTGGGGAGGTAATCAGGATTTTTTTTTTTTAACACACTGATTGCTTGTAGCAATGAAAATCCCTGTTTTAAGCAACAATTTTTAATGAATGGCATCCATTTATCCAGTGTGTACGATTGTGAAGCTGGAATTGTCCACAGATATCACATGGTACAGGTGCACTGTGATTGACCCTGTCTGTATCATGTGATCACTGACCAATCCAAAAAATAAACACAATAGTACACAATGAATGGCTATTGTGTACAATGGTTGCGATCTGCTGTGATTGGTACCAGCATTGGCCTAGTACACTGATCTGTCATCCGCTGTGTCTGGTGGACACAGTGGGTGACGAATTGCGGCCCGATCCTGGGAGGATGTCATATGACATCCACCCAGGATGGCAACACTCCTGCTCAACCATCATTCTGTTATAGGCTGGGTAGGAAGCAGTTAAAGAACACTCTTCCAAAACACTTATTATCCAACTGTGAATTTGTTGGATGAGGTTAAAAATTAACAAAATACCAGATTATCTACAAATGTCATTTTTTTAAAAAAAACATACAAAAAAACCCCACACAACCAATTTCTTTCCTCCTAGCTTCTGGTCAATCAACCATTGCCTCCAAGTATATTGTCCCTTCCCCTGCATCTTAAAATCTGTAGATCCACATATAGTGGCTTTCCATTTCAGACCACGCCTCCTGACCATAAGTAAAAGGTCTGTCAATCTCAGATGTAGTCATCCGTGAACAACCACCACATAAAGTGGAACTAAAGTCAACATTGCAGTAGGTGGGCACTTATCATAATCTGCAAGTATGCAAGCTCCCCCTTCAGCAATCCAGTGTCTGCAGTATCCCTTGTAGCTTCTTCCCTGCCAATTACAGCTTTGCCTGGCCTTCCTGTTCTTTTTCTTCTGACCTGGCATCTTTTGACCATTGTGATTGGCTAAAAAACCAGGTTCAATTTTGTGAACAATTAGAAGAAAATTGCTGGAAAGTAAAGCTATCGCTTTTATGGCAGAAAATATTTTTCAAGAGCTCAGTTCTGCTTTAACCTGGCTCCTTATTAACACTGAGGTCACCCACTCATGCAGTATAATATCACTATACATGCTCTCTAGATATCTTTTGTTGTCTGCTGTACAATATTCACATCTCAAAAAAAAATGGACAAAAAGTGCTTTCCGCTAAATTTCACAATTTATCAAGATGTGCATGGACTGAGACTAAAATACAGTTTCCCTTAAAACGTACCGAAATCCCCCCAAAAATAAATTGCAGCATACCGATCCTTAGGTAAGGTGACTGAAACAGAAACAAAGTTTGTTTTGGATATTTCTCTTTTAATTTTAATTTTTTTGTATGCTGTTTAACATATCCCCGAAAACTATCTCTGTAAATTATTTTCTTGCAAAGAAGCAGATTAATGTGCAGAATCTTAAAAAACCACAACTGTTTGCTCTTAAAAGTACAGATTTGCATTCCTATTACCTTGTCATGACTGGGAAGAACGGTACTCATAGGATTGGAGTTAAACCAGCATGAAAGCATTATTCCTTGTGACTAATGATGACATTATCTGGTTTCAGATGTTCTGAAGGACACCCTTGGTCTTCAGCTCGTAGGCCCATATGATATTCTTTCTGGTAAACACACCTCATCTAAGAAAAATTCTGATGTGAATTATAATCTGCACTGGAGGTTTTTTTATGATCCCCCAGAATTTCAGACCATTATTGCTGGAGACAGCAGGACACAATTTCACATGGGATACTACAGGTAAGAAATATGAAAGGGCTCTCTGCAAATATTACATTGAACAAGTGCAGGTCTGGAGCAGTTTGTCATTATATCAATACAGAGCTTTTCCTATGCATCAAAATTTTGTATATATTTTAAACATTTGGCATTGTGCAGTCTCCTATTGCATCTATATCTTATGTATGTCAAAGATCTTTGTCCATTTACATTTTTCAGAGATTCTCCAGAGGAGATGCCGGCTTTTGTTGGCACTAATGAAGCCATTAAAGGGTGCCTCATCACTCCAGCTGGAGATAATGTGTTCTCTTCTGTCAAGTAAGTGCCCCTCACTTTAGAATTTTTTTTGTTTAAGGAGTGATTTTTTTTTTTTTTGTTTTATTTTTATAAGCTTTTTTTCTTCTAGGCTATTTGCAACAAAGAAGTTAAAAGACATTTCTGATAAGAAAACCGTTGCCGCAATAAAAGCATTGATACAGAAACTTACAGCAGCAGCAGATAAATTGGGTTACTCTTTGGAGCAGAAATCAAATTCCATGAAACGGAGAGAGAAGAAAGTTAGTACCTCCTATTTTCTGGTTTGTTTGTTTTTTTTTCTGGTTTTGTACACATTGAAATCTGCATTTAGTACTCAGTTTAATTAATTTTTGTACAAAAAAGATTACGTAGTGTAAAGTAAATTCTGTATTCCCAAAATATTAGTGCGACGCTCTAAATAATAAAGTAATAATCAACAGAAAAGTCCATAAATTAAAGTCCTTCTGTTATCACCATGTGAATTAAATCAAGGTTGCAAGAAAATCATCACGTAACTGTTCAAATAATTTCTCCAGTGTGCCGTGCTCCCCCTTCAGGTGTGCACTCACCAGAATTATTTGCCTTCCATTCTCATGGTTGGCAAATGCGCTTTTTGTATATACAGTGGGGCAAAAAAGTATTTAGTCAGCCACCAATTGTGCAAGCTCTCCCACTTAAAAAGATGAGAGAGGCCTGTAATTGGCATCATAGGTAGACCTCAACTATGAGAGACAAAATGAGAAAAAAAATCCTGACAATCACATTGGCTGATTTGGAAAGAATTTATTTGAAAATTATGGTGGAAAATAAGTATTTGGTTCATCTCAATACTTTGTTATATATCCTTTGCTGGCAATGACAGAGGTCAAACGTTTCCTGTAAGTCTTAACAAGGTTGGCACACACTGTTGCTGGTATGTTGGCCCATTCCTCCATGCAGATCTCCTCTAGAGCAGTGATGTTTTGGGGCTGTCGCTGGGCAACACAGACTTTCAACTCCCTCCAAAGGTTTTCTATGGGGTTGAGATCTGGAGACTGGCTAGGCCACTCCAGGACCTTGAAATGCTTCTTACAAAGCCACTTCTTCATTGCCCGGGTGGTATGTTTGGAATCATTGTCATGTTGGAAGACCCAGCCACGTTTCATCTTCAATGCCCTTGCTGATGGAAGGAGGTTTGCACTCAAAATCTCACAATACATGGCCCCATTCATTCTGTCCTGTACATGGATCAGTCGTCCTGGTCCCTTTGCGGAGAAACAGCCCCAAAGCATGATGTTGCCACCCCCATGCTTCACAGTAGGTATGGTGTTCTTTGGATGCAACTCGGCATTCTCTCTCCTCCAAACACGACGAGTTGTGTTTCTATCAAACAGTTCTATTTTGGTTTCATCTGACCATATGACATTCTCCCAATCCTCTTCTGGATCATCCAAATGCTCTCTAACAAACTTCAGACGGGCCAGGACATGTACTGGCTTAAGCAGGGAGACACTGGCAGTGCAGGATCTGAGTCCCTGGTAGCGTAGTGTGTTACTGATGGTAGCCTTTGTTACGTTGGTCACAGCTCTCTGCAGGTCATTCACTAGGTCCCCCCGTGTGGTCCTGGGATTTTTGCTCACCGTTCTTGTGATCATTTTGACCCCACAGGGTGAGATCTTGTGTGGAGCCCCAGATTGAGGGAGATTATCAGTGGTCTTGTATGTCTTCCATTTTCTAATTATTGCTCTCACAGTTGATTTGTTCACACCAAGCTGCTTGCCTATTGCCTATTGCAGATTCAGTCTTCCCAGCCTGGTGCAGGTCTACAATTTTGTTTCTGGTGTCCTTCGACAGCTCTTTGGTCTTCACCATAGTGGAGTTTGGAATGTGACTGTTTGAGGTTGTGGACAGGTGTCTTTTATACTGATAACAAGTTCAAACAGGTGCCATTGATACAGGTAATGAGTGCAGGACAGAGGAGCCTCTTAAAGAAGAAGGTACAGGTCTGTGAGAGCCAGAAATCTTGCTTGTTTGCAGGTGACCAAATACTTATTTTCCACCATAATTTGCAAATAAATTCTTTCCAAATCAGCCAATGTGATTGTCTGGATTTTGTTTCTCAATTTGTCTCTCATAGTTGAGGTCTACCTATGATGCCAATTACAGGCCTCTCTCATATTTTTAAGTGGAAGAACTTGCACAATTGGTGGCTGACTAAATACTTTTTTGCCCCACTGTATGTATATTTCTCCAGAGGGAAGATGATTTCTCAAGTCACAAAATGATTCCTTCCAGGAATGATTCAAACTCTCCAATATATTATTGCCTCTTATGGTAACTCTCCACAAACCTCACATAAAAGAAAAAAGAGACCCGACATGGTGCAGTACCATTTAAAACCATTTAATCTCTGCCCAAGAATCTCACTTACAAGATAATTGAATAAAACAAACCCAAAGATATGAAAGTATCCATGTATCGGTAGTATCAGAGAGGGAAGACCGCACAATGCTCTCACCACTGCCGATCCTCGCTCTCGAACAGTCTCGCATCACTTCCGGTTCCAATGCTCGTCACTTCCTGTTGCCGCTTAACCAATCCCTTAAGGCTTGGCCTTGTTTTATTCAATTATATTGTAAGTGAGATTCTTGGGCAGAGAGCAGTGGAGAGTTACCATCAGAGGCAATAATATATTGGAGAGTTTGAATCATTCCTGGAAGGAATTGTTTTGTGACCTGGAAATAATCTTCCCTCTGGAGGAATATTCATATATACAAAAGCGCATCTGCCGACCATGAGAATGGAGGGCAAATTCTCGTGAGTGCACACCTGAAGGGGGAGCACGGCACACTGGCGAAATTATTTGAACAGTCGTGGTGATTTTCTTGCAACCTTGATTTAATTTACATGGTGATTACAGAAGAACTTTAATTTATGGACTTTTCTGTTGATTATCATTTTTATTTACAGAGCGCCGCACTAATATTTTGGGAATACAGAATATGATTTGTTAATTTATGTGGTGGAATGTGGCAGCTGATTATTTTGATTTAATTTATTTTGGGGCATTTTTTATTTAGCGCAGTTTGTGTTTTGAGGGTCAATTCTTTGGCCCAGATAAATACGGTGGTTTATATGCCAAATATGTCAATCCTCAAAACTGCATGCATCTGCAAAATGGCAAAATATTACAGTACCCAGATTTATTAATAGCTGATCAGTTTGGAGCTAGCTGTAATTGAGGGGACTGGAATTATTGCTCTCATTCCAGCATATACAACAATACCAAATATGGTACAATTGTTTACATATACAAGTGTTTGCATTTGTTTGTTTAATTTAACTTGATCTTCTCTAGCTGCTTTATACCTGGATTTTCAGCAGGGATTTTGAAAGCTCTGCACTAGAAAAACTCAGGGCTATGCATTTTGCGTTCACGCTCAGCAGCGGCGATCATAAAACAGATGTTCCTTGATCTCCTCTTGGTCACCATCCTGACAATAGTTGTTGTGCTACTAGGGGAGTTAGATGATAGCCATTTGATGGCGGGTCTCTTTGCTCTGGTAAGATTGTGCTGTAGTGCAGATTCTCAAGTGGAGGATTGGTGTTAATTTCATAGTCCACTGTTGTTCTGTATGCTCTGATAGATGTCAGTACTACAGAAGCTTCAACAGTGCTGTGTGGGTGAAAAGAAGTATCAGATTTATTGGTAGGCAAATAGTCCTTTTGAGTGGGCTAATCTCTGCTGTTGTGAGGTTGAGTATCACACACTGGTCTGTATTTGTTGGCAACCTCTTTCCTTTTGATTGGGTACCCTCTTTGCCCTGCATTTCCTTGAGCAGAGCCCATGAAGGATGGGAGAGTGACATTGAAGGAAGTTCTCTTCTTGTAAGAGAAGGTCCAAAATAAAAAACAAAAACATGAAATGTTTTAAGATATCTGTGGATTAGCAGAGGCTTCTGAATCAGATTATGAATTACCTGAACTGGCATCCACAGTTCAAATGTTCAGACAATTGATCTTGCATTGGCATGAAAACATTGAGACTCAGTTGTCTGCATGTCCATGTGTAAACAGTTATTAATACTGTCATCGCTGACTTTTGATTTTTCTTGCTTGAAAGAGGAAATCCGTTGATATCTTGTAACATTGTCATCCAGTATCTTATATCCATGAGCTTTTCCTAGATCAGAATGAACCAAGTTCATTTGGTTCCACAAGACCTCAGTGGTAAACACGATGCGGTAAAAGCTGCTCTTAAGTACAGCACAACATTTGCAGCAAAAGTTTTAATGGTTCTCCCAATTGGGATGTTTGATTCTAAACCTCTGACAATGCGCTTCTAGTGATGGTCTTTGCTCAAACATTGACCATGGAACAGCAGGTCCACCTCCATGGTTTTTTTTTTTTTTCGTTTTTGTTTTTTAATCGGATGTAGGTGCAAAGTAGATCCTTAGTGTAATTCTCTCTTTAAAAAAAAACTTTTTTTTTTGTTTTAGTGGCACCAGTGAAAGCAGTAGAGGCTGTGCTGTTATCTGTCATAACTAAAATAGGTGCAGCAATGTGGAATGGGCAAAGGAGAGGCGTACGATTATTGTTGGTGTGTGTGTCACCTAGGTTTATCACATACATCTGTGGGGCTCCAGGGTTTGACTGATGTGGAGAAAGCAAACTTGTATTCTCAGAACCGTAAGTCCTGTTCTGGAGCCAAGAGGCTTTTGTAGTGCTTTGGGTGGGATTAGGTCTCCTTTCCTAAGTTCACATTGTACCTGATAGCCAGGTTTGGTTGTTGCTGGGAGAAAACACTTCCTGCTGACAGAACATTAAAATAGTACAAATGTTGCCTGGTTGTTTTGGGATACACTGTTAGATGTTTTGGTAAGTAGATCCTTTGTTCCTATGGAGGTCATTGCCTTACTTCTGTTTGGTTAGACAGGAAGTCAGGTAAAGTCTTTCCAACAGGCACACAGACAGCAATAAAAACCTGACCCGAGTTTATAACCCTTGCTCCTAAGTGACACAAAACGCATTTTGTCTGAAGTTTGGATACTTACCTTTTTTGTGTTTTTTTTTTTTTTTTTTTTTTTTTTTTTTTTGTTCCATTAAAAAAATATGAGCATAACTAAACTGATTTGGAGCAGATCTTTGTGTATGATATTCAATTTTGATTTATTTTCCTGTAACTCTGTCCACCTTGTCTGCACCCCATTCTCATTATATCAGGCGGTGACCAAGTCATTCCATGGTGCTGGTCTGGTGGTCCCTGTAGATAAGAATAATGTTGGATACAGGGAACTTCCTGAAACAGACGGTAAGTTTTTTTTTTTTTTTTTTTCTATTTACACTATTTATGCATAGTTATCTGCCTCACCTACCCCCTCTGCTGCCTCATTTGGCACCTTTCGATGGGGAGGGGGGAGCAAGTACCTGGTTTTGACAGGTACCCGCTCCCACTTCTGGCTCAGTTCGGCGTGGCTAACTGAGCCGGAAGTTTACAGTTCTGGAGACCTCACTTACAAAAAGATTCTGATAAGATAGAACGAGTCTAGAGATGCGTAACAAAAGTGGTGAAAGGTCTGAGGGATAAAACATACCAAGAGCGATTTCAGAAACTTAATATGTACAGTTTGGAGGAGAGAAGGGAAAGAGAAGACATGACTGAAACTTTTATATACATCAAGGGGTGTGAATAAGGTTCAAGAGGGCAGTGTTCATTAGGGAATTCTCATACAATGAGATATGATTCACCATGGTGGTGGTTACACCGATCAAATCTATCCAGGCACCACTCCATTGTTCCAGACCCAATTGCGCTATTAACATCGGATGCCAGGCACCAGGGCTGGGATGTCCACTATGACACCTTGCAATGTAGATAGAATGGAAATTCCAAACTTCCACTCTGGTGTCAAACCTTTTTAAATCTGAACAGCCTTCATACATCTTCAGACTTTCTCTCCCCTGCTGCAAGGGAGTCCAGATAAGGATGGACAACAGAACAGTGGTGTCATACATTCATAAGAAGAGAGGAACACGCAGCAGATCATGTTGCAAGAACTTTCATCTTCATCCTCCTGAATTCGAAGTTGCTGCAGAGGCTGAATGTGGTGTTGATAGCTCAACCTGATTGTATGAAGATTGGGCTCCAAAAATTCTCAAGTCTAGACATTTCTGAAGTTGTAATTTTCATCTTTAATGAAGGCTTAAAGCCTACAATTTGTGGCTGTCAATCACTGGTTCCCGGACGGTAATTAGAGGACTGTTTTGTTTACTAATCGAACAGCACAGCCATCCAGAGCAGTGTGATTACAGTGAAACACACACTAACCCCTAGTAAAACACTCCCTGCTCACAGTTAACCCTTTGATCGACCCTCGTGTTAACCCCTTCCTGCCCAGTGCCATTAGTACAGTGTCAGTACTTTTTTTTTTGCACTGATCATTGTATTGGTGTCACTGGGGATGTCAGTGACACCAAGTCAGCTCCCCCCCCCCCCCCCCCCACCAGTGTCAGAATGTACGATGCAGTGCCGCTATAAGGCGCTGATTGCTGCCATTACTGGTAAAAATAAAAAATCCCAGTATATAAAACGCCATTTGTAAACACTATAACTGTAATGTAAACCAATTAATTTACACATATTGGTCTTTTTTCTTTTTTTTTTTTAGCAAAGACATATAGCAGAATACATTTTGGCCTAAATTTATGACAAATTTGATTTTTTTAAAAAAAAATTTTACTGGACATGTTTTAATCGCAAATAGTCAAAAATATTGTTTTTTTTCTCAAAATTGTCTTTTTTTTTTTTTTCCTTCATAGCGCAAAAAATAAAAAATGCACAGGCGATCAAATGCCACCAAAAGAAAGCTCAATTCCTGGGAAAATAAAGGATGTACATTTCATTTGGTCGCAGCATTGCATGACCACGCAATTGTCAGTTAAAGTGATGCAGTGCCTTAAAAAAAAAAAAAAAAAAGCCTGGTCAGGAAGGGGGGGGGAAATCCTCAAAAGGGCAAGTGGTTAAAGGCAGGAAGATCTGTGGAGTCTGGTCAAGTGCATGGCCACCCTATTTTTCCACAGAGAGTTTGACCTCCCTGACGGTATTCCTGAGGTTAAGTTTCAGTACCAAAAGCAGTAACCCCGAGCTACACTCGGGATTACCCTGCAGCGTTGCTCAGGGATTCCCTCGATCACTTACATTGTCCTTTGCTTCCGCAATGTCCCCCCTGCAACGTCCCCGCCATCTCCTCCGGCCGATGCCGGCATTTGTCTTCCGGGTTCCGTTCCCTGCGAGCATCGGGACGTACGGGGGACGGAACCAGCAGGAAATTCACACATTTTAGAAATGACATTCACTCAATGCACTAAAAGCACATAGTATACCATTACTATATCAAACCATTTCACATACATTTTGTCCCTAGTGCTTTGTCCTGTGCCCTGCCTGCATTTTTTTTGTTCTTTCTGCCTGGAAACTGAGAAAAGTCCATGGCGTCCAAAAAGCATCCCTTTAGGTCAAAAGTGGTTTTAGACCAGCTAGAGAACAGCGATAGTAAATCAGAACCACTTGCAGAATTGAGTGATAATGATTTGTGGGGAAATTCGTCATCAGACACTGAAAACAATTTTGCAACTAAGCTCAATGATGTGCGAACTTGGCGCTCTATTTCAAATTTCAGTGTTTTTGGTTTGATTATATTATTGAATTAAATTTATATTATTTTTTTATTATATTATGATTTTGTGTTTCAAATTTTCATACCTGGGATCTTTACTAGACTCTTGTTCGGACAGATTTCAGTGAGTTATTCCTAAGAATTACAGGCATACAATAATAAAACGATATATTTCCATGCAAAAAAAGTACCGCTTTGAGCACAGAAATAATGACATACCGTATTTTTCGCTCCATAAGACGCACCTAGGTTTTAGAGGGGAAAAAACAAGAAAAAAAAAATATTCTGAACCAATGGACTGCAGACTCAGTACAGGAGATGACCAGAGACTGCGGACACAGTACAGGAGATGACCAGAGACTGCGGACACAGTACAGGAGAGAGACTGACCAGAGACTGCGGACACAGTGCGGAGACACACAGTGCAGGAGATGACCAGAGACTGCGGACACAGTGCAGGAGATGACCAGAGACTGCGGACACAGTGCAGGAGATGACCAGAGACTGCGGACACAGTGCAGGAGATGACCAGAGACTGCGGACACAGTGCAGGAGATGACCAGAGACTGCGGACACAGTGCAGGAGATGACCAGAGACTGCGGACACAGTGCAGGTGATGACCAGAGACTGCGGACACAGTGCAGGGAATGACCAGAGACTGCGGACACAGTGCAGGGAATGACCAGAGACTGCGGACACAGTGCGGACACAGAGACTGCGGACACAGTGCAGGGAATGACCAGAGACTGCGGACACAGTGCAGGGAATGACCAGAGACTGCGGACACAGTGCAGGGAATGACCAGAGACTGCGGACAGTGCAGGGAATGACCAGAGACTGCTGACCTTTGGGGAGGGAGGGGGAGCGGGTACCTGAATTTGACAGGTACCCGCTCCCACTGCCGCGGAGTTGTCCTTCCTTCCTTCTTCCCGGGCCGGCTTCTGTGACAGCCGGGTGCCCACTGCGCATGCGCGAGAAGCTCTGCGCTTTGTGAATGGCCCAGCGCCTTCTGGGACCTGTCATGTGTCCCAGAAGACACCGGATCATTCACAAAGCACATGCGGCAGTGGGCACCCGGCTGTCACAGAAGACAGCGCGGGAAGACTGTGCAGCGCTGGAGCGAGGAACAGGTAAGGCCCTGCAGGAAAGAACAGCTGAGCGGCCGGCCCGGTATTCTGACATGGTGGCGGCAGAAATACCGGACCGGCCGCTTTATATTCGCTCCATAAGACGCACTGACATTTTCCCCCCTTTTTTTGGGGGAAAAAAGTGCGTCTTATGGAGCGAAAAATACGGTAATCAGACTGCTAGGGAGGTTAAAGTGAAAGAAGGGAATAGGTCCAGGTTCATATGGCTGTTATAGTCTAGCAATGGATACCATATTTTAACAAATGTAGTGTATGGTTAAGTATTGTAGTGAGTTTCTTGTGCATCATGCTGCCCATCACATCTTTTACCCTGTGCTTTGGGAGTCATGTACCAGCTAACGGGAAAGCACTTTGTTTTCTTGTGCTAATGTTAAACGAGCATCTTGCCACTTTAACCCAAATTTTATTCCAGTCAGCTATGTCTAGGTATTCGCCAAGATCCCTCTGCCATTTCTCCATTTTGGACCGTTGAACCCATCTGAGAAGCAGACCAACCTCATGTTAGATGTTGAAAACACCTTGAAATCATACATTGCAGCATTTGCAGGAATCAGATCTTTTGAGGCTCTTTTTTCCTTATGCTTCTCAAATTCAGAAAAGGCCAGCCAGCCTTGACAAGAACCATAGCATCTTGGCTAGTGAAGCTAAATAACAAATCTTACACAAATCAAAACCCTTCCTGCACCAAAGGAGATCAAGGCACACCTGGCAAGAGAAATGGCAACAACATAGACAGCACTCTCAAAGGTCTCAGCTAAGTCTATCTGCAAGGCTCCATCTGGTCTTCATGAAGCACATTTTATGAACCACTTCAGAACTGATCCAGGAGCTCTTGCAATAGTGAAATTCATAAGAAGCATCAGTTTGTCCAATATTAAATAAATTATGTGTTGGCAGCACCCTCCTATTTGTGTGCTTATCATATTCCATTGTGTGCTGCTATGATGCGCCAGAAAAACAGAAAATGTTTTGTTCACATTTTTCCAATTTTCCTTTCCTGGTGCATGCAATAATTCTTTTATATCACATTGGTATATGTGAAAGTGGTCCATGCATTATTTGGAGGTAACCCAGTCATCCTATACTTTGGTAAATGTTTTTTTTTTTTTTTTGGGGGGGTAACAGCTAGACTCATAAAGTGGAAGAGCTGCATTAACTAGACCAATGTAAGCACTAAGGCTTACTTCCAGTTTATTACAATAGTTTTCCTAGCATAGAACAGAACTAAAATTGTCCTTACTGCATGAGTGGGACCCATTGGTTCCAACAGACAAGTGGATACATTTAAAGGGATTGGATTGTGGTCAGCTCTATAATAAAATGGGCTATATCAGACCAGAATAATTGTATGGCAGGGCATTCCCAGAACCTATGAAAATAACCCGCAGAGTCTTGGAGACATATCCAACATGTGCTGGGGCAAAGGGATTTATCTTGTGCAACCTCTGTGGGGTTAAATAGATCCTATAAAGTATTTTAATTGTATTCATCTTTCCATGGCAGAAACTGGATGAAGTGGTGGGTAGTCCCATACATCTTCTAGTCCTCTGTATCAAGCCCTGGGATGCATCTCTGCTATCTAGAGCGTAAGGTTTCCAGGCCCTTGTGGACGTTTGGTTGCAGGACCTTGTAAATTGTAGAGAAAGATTTAGTTGGTGATTTGCTTCATAAAAGTGACTTGATCTTGAAGTTGGTTAACTCCCAGAACTCTCTTGCACCAAACTGTAATTAATATGAGTGACAAGTTGTGCCAAAAAAAAAAAAAAAAAAAGTATTAGGGAGATCCTATTGCTCTTCCAATTTATCAAATGTTAAAAAGATGCATTTTTCATGTATATGGCCAAGACCTCTTCTATGCCCAAAAGGCAAAGTCTGCCTTCTGAGGGTATAAATCGATCCATATAAAGTAGTTTTAGAATTGTCTTAATCTTTCCATAGTCAGACAACATGGATGAAGTGGGTGGGTAGTCCAACAGGAAAGTATTGTGGCAATTTAGGGTTTAGCTAATGGTTCCCTAATATTTACATGAATGACTGAGGGGAGTTATGGATGCAAGTTTTATAGATATCTTCAATGGGGGAGGAGCATTAACCCATTGTGTGCTGCCATGTAGATGTAACCAGAACGGAAAATTCTGGAAAGGTTGGTATACAATTTTTTTTTTTTTTTTTTTTTTTTTTCAGTTTTTAACCTACATATTTCCCCCATTGCATCTGCAAGCCAGTAATTATTGTCTTGTCAAATCCACTAGAACTTTAGGTAAGAAGAAATTTTATAGACACTAACTAAAGTATCGGTTAAAGAAAAACACTATTTTGAAGCCATCTATGCTTCTAAATAAACAATATAGTTAACTTGCAGTATAACCTTGTGTCTACTCGCAAGTAACATATTAAATGTTTGTTTTTTTTTTCCTTTTAGGAAATCTTAAGAAAATTTGCAAAGCCATTGTGGAAGCGCCTACTGATGATGTGAGAATGAAAGCCTTTGCTCCTATTCAGGAAATGATCACTTTTGTTCAGTTTGCAAATGATGAGTGCGATTACGGTATGGGTTACGAGCTGGGGATTGACCTCTTCTGTTATGGATCACATGTGAGTAGTTGTTTGTGCCTTGGATCAATGGAATTTTATTATATTAATGGAAAAATTAAGATATTTCGTTTACCTGTAAAATTCTTTTTCTTTAAGCACATTACGGGACACAAAGCATTGTCAGAATCCTTATGACAGGTGCTGCCACCTTCAGGTGTTTGGACACTGGCACAAAAGGCAGGAAGTTGCCTTCTAGGCATACCCCTTCCTTGTTGGACAAGGCTTTAGTTTTGTAATAAGCTATAAACCACAAGACAAAGGGACTGTATCCCATGGTTTACTCCAAGAAAAGGATTTTACAGGTAAACAGGAATCTTAATTTGTTATACATCACAGGACACAGAGCCTTCAGAACCCTTATAACCAGGATGTCCCAAAGCGTTAAATATGAGGGGAGGGCAACACAACAGCAAGGCAATAGGTCCCAAACAACCCAGAACAGAGTAAAACCTCTCGTAGCCACCTGCAACACACTTTGACCAAAGGTAGAGTCCTCAGTGGCTGTAACATCCAGCTGGTAAAACTTTACAAACTTGAGCTACGAAAGATTGATACCGAATAGCCCAGGAAGCACCAACACTACTGGTAGAATGAGCCATCACCAAAAATGGAAATGGCATGAACCGCATCCAAAGTGTGGATAGCCTTGTCCCCTGGTGTATGCGGTTTAGGATCAAAAGACGGCAGCACAAATTCCTCATTGAAGTGGAAATTTAAAAAAATAAATATAAAAAAAACACCTTTGGTAAGACAGACGGCTGAGGGTGAAGAACCACCTTGTCACGGTGGAGCACCAGAAACAGGTCCTTACAGGAAAGGGTAGACAATTCTACAAGCCGAAGTAATGGCAACCAGAAAAATAACCACCTGCATTAAAAGGAAGATCCCAGATGGATTCAACTGGAGATGATGCAGAGAGTACCAAGTTAAGATCCCAGAGTTAAGGTATTAGTCCTGACCAGTGGAGCAATACGTGTGGCACCCTGCACAAGGGCATGCACCAGAGAATGTGAAGTAATCAGCCTTTGAAAAAAATATTGCCAAGGCTGAAATCTGCCGTCTTGTTTGTACTCAGCCAATCTCAGATTCACTCCAAATTAGAGAGAGGCCTAAATGTGTTCTCATACAAAGGAGTATAAGATTTCCATGTCTTATTGTAAATCTTCTTGAAGTTGCCTTGCTAGCTTTCAAAGGATAGGCATGAATGATTAATAGACTCTCCTGTCTCTCACGACTCTGGCTACAACAGCCATGCCTTTAAAGCAAGCGACTGTAAAAGATGGAAGATTGGACCGAGGAACAGAAGGTCATGTCAGTCTAGAAGGATTCAAGGACCGTCCACTGCTGATGATGTCGGAATACCACGTTCTTCTGGGCCAAGCCAGACTGCTAGAATTACTAGAAGTCCTTCCTTTGGAAACCTACAAAGCAGATGAGGTAAAAGTTGCAGTGGGGGAAAGGCATAAATCTGGGAGAACTGGTCCCATGATGTCACCAGAGCATCCCCTGCAAACACTTGAGAATCCTTTTATCCTGGACATGAACCTATCCAGCTTTGCACTGAACCTAGATCCCAGAAGATCCACATCAGAGATGCCCCACCGTCAAGTTCCCCAAACAGCTTCAGGTGCAGAGCCCACTACCTGGAGCCGGTTGTTGACAGCTGAGGAAATCTGCCTGACAATTCTCCACCCCTAGAATATGCATGGCGGACAGTGTGGGAACATGAAGTTCTGCCCAAGACCGGATGAGACCCACTTTTTCCTGGGCTGCCCAACTGCCTCCTTGATGATTTATGTATGCCACGGTCTGACTAGAGCCTTCAGCTTTACCAACCAATGTAGAACAAGACAAATCGCCCTCTGGTCCAATATGTTGATGGGCATTGACCTCTCCTGCAGTGACCAAGTTCCCTAGACTGAAAGACTGTCCAGAACTACCACCCCATCCTGACAGACTGGTGTTTATCAGAACCTTCCAGGAGATTGTTCCATTCACAAGGATATCCACCAGTCCAGAGCCAGAAACTTGCTGGTATGTAAAGACATCAAAGAGTCCCAACAACTGTGTTGTCTTGCCCATGCCCTCAACATTAAGCTGTAGAGGCCTGGAATTAAAATAGGCAAAGGTTACTGCCTCGAAGGAGGCTATCTTTCCGAGAACTTTCATGCAGAGTCAAATTGAGGGATTTGTCGGTGTCCTGAGGAAGTGCAACCGAGTCCGTAGAACAAGACACTTTTCTGGATTGCTCCCTCAGTAGTAAGTTGTGCGGCTCCCCTATAATAGGAATACCTTGGGTCTGTGGGAGCCCTAGAACCAGATCCGGGACCTTGGTGAACACCCTGGGAGGTGTGGACAGGCCGAATGGGAGGGCCTTACATTGAAACTGGTGATTCTCCACCGCAAACAGCAAAAACCTGGAGATAAGCAACCTTGTTATCCACCGCTGCTAGGAAATCTCCCTACTGGGGGGAATTCCCCTTGAAAAGGTAAACATTCCACATGCCTCTCGTAGTGTGGCTCCACTGACCAACACTTCAGCCATAGAATCCTGTGTATGTGTACGAACAAACGTCCCAGATGAAAAAATTGTTGTTTGAAGTTCAGAAGTGCGTCCACTCAGAAAATGAATGCACAAGGAAAATTTTCAGGTTCCTGATATGTGGAGAGTCAGAGCTGCAAGGAAGACACTGAACCCCAAGGTATATAGTGCACAAAGAGGCTAAATCAAGATTCCTTCTTGCCTGACAAAGGTATTTGGGGTCCCTCACCCCCTACATCACCTTCTTTCTACCGTGTATTGAGACCCTCTTTGAACATAGCAGTCCCAGTCAGCCAAAAGGGCATGAGTGTCAAAACCACACTAGTGTGCTGGTTACCCCAGGAGATTGACTCTAATTGCCAGTGCCCCACCATCTGCACAAGGAAAGGAAGTGTGTGTGTGTGTGTGTGTGCATTTCATCCCTGGTATGCTTCCTGTGACCAGTAGTTCCTCAACGCAGTACCTACAAGGAAGGAGTTGCTGAGACCTGTCCATTAAGGAGGGTGCCAAAGTGATCTGCGCTTTGCTGCGACCGTTGTCCCGCTACGCCTTGTAGTTCTGCAACTTATAAGCACACCCTTATTACTGTGAGCTGGCCAGGGAGGCTCATAAAAATAAACTAAACCAAAAATAAAACTACTGCAAAGGGTCCCTAGAACAAATAAAGAAACCCATAGAAAAAAAAAGTGACCACCGTTTACCTTTCCCTGTTGAGGAAGGGACGGGGACAGGATGTCACTGGCAGTGTCACCAGCAGGGCTAGCACAGAGCATTTAATAGTCCAGCTGCTGCACCTCTAGGAGATTGAATCTTCACCCTTAGTGGCAGGCAGTGGCACAAAAGACCTTCAGGGACTTAGTTCCCCAGCTGGGGATCACTAGGCAATATATTATTGCACAAGGTTCTGTAACACTGGATCCAGTGCCGCTCACCAACATTACAGGCTGTTCACTCATCTTTCCGTGTGGGGTCTGTGTACCATTCCCTAAAGTGAAGAAAAGTCATAGGAATGGATCTGGATGAAGCCAGTCAACTGATCCGGGATGAAACCATTGAGAAGATAGCTACACAGCTGTGACCATCAACCCCAGACACTAGCAAATAAACTGAAGGGGGAACGTCCTGCCTTTTTTTTTTTAACCATTGTCTAGTGACCTGAAGGTGGCAGCATATAACCCTATCTAATTCTACCTGATTCTGAAGATACTGTTTAAATTAGGCTAACACTGGGGGGGTAAATGAACAATGTAAGGTCAACATGGGTAATATGTTATGGGATCTCTCTTAGCTGTAAACGACACTGTAGGACCTCATTCACTGCATTTTATTGCTGGCTGCAGCAAGAATCCATCAGATTCCTGTGGAACGTTTCCCAGGTGGATGCAGATAGTTGCAGTTGTTCAGCTTGTACAAAGCTATGACAGGCTCACAGCAGCCACAGCTGTCCACCAGTTTTGGATGTAGTAGTTCCTCAATATAGGGACAGATGAGCTTTCCTGGACACAACCTGCTTGCATCCAGGGCAATTATCTCTCCTTAACAAGTAATCGCTCTGTGTGATTACACATGACTCTTGATGGCCTGTTGTTTTTGCGCAGACTGAGCTTCTGCAACCGCCTGGGAACTCGGTTGCAGGATTACGCTAGATTTTTGCTGCAACTGGCAATAAAATGCTGTGTGAATGTGGCCTTGGCGTAGAACAGTTTCTCAACCTTTATTCAGCCAAGTCACACTCTAAACTTCTGCACAATCTCAAGGCACCCAATTCTAAAATGGAAAATCAAAACTTGTAGATTTACAAAATACAGTGGCATCCACACACATAGAACACGCAACGTTGGAGAGAATTTTTCTTCTAAAGCAAATACAAATTTGCACACTGTTATTGAGTAGTATTCTAACATTTTCTTCCCACTCGCTTGCTCCTCTCTCTCTGTTTCTCTCCATCATTAGCTAATGTAACCCCACTGCTGATGGACAGTGGCAGGGGAAGGGCAAACAATGATGCTATGCAGGCGCCTGATGTCCTCTTTATCAACTGATGTTGTCATTGGTTGTTAGGACGCCAGCAGCTCGAAAGTTGTAATGGTACACAATGAAAACCCATGGCTTTGTGTAACCAAAATGCAGGCTTCATCCACCCTCTGGACTGTATACAATTTGTGAGCAATTTTTAGGTATTTTGCCAGGGTATCCTGGTTGAAAAAGGTTGGTGTAGAAGAAAGGAATTCGGTAACCTGGAGATAACTTTGTATACACAATGCACGCTATCATTGCAGCATAGGACAATATGAATCTGAAGTAATGGGTTTGAACAGCTGTTTTGTTTTTTTTTCCCCCCTCACAGTACTTTCATAAAGTAGCCAGACAACTCTTACCCCTGGCTTACAAACTCCTGAAGAGGGATCTATTTGCAGAAATAATTGAATCTCACCTGGCAAATCGGAGGAAAGAGCATGTTAACCTGCTTGATGCATGATATGGACTAAAGGCACAGTTTAATGTGTTTTGCTTCTGTTATTAATAATCTGTGTTATTCTATAAAGTTAGTTTTGTAATAAATGCCTTGTATCTATATTTTTGTATTTAGATTGGTTGTAAGATGCTTTAACATATTGGAGAATAGGAATTTAATCTAGCAAAATCTAGGGTTTGTTAAACACTGGAGTATAATCATGAACAGTTCCCATACCTAGCACCTGGAGCTCAGAGAGAGTGTTAATAAATAAATATATATATAATTTTTTTTTTTTAACACTGAAATTGTGCTAAGAGTGAGAGGTACTAAATAGGGCATGCTTAAGCAAAACCTGAGTCTACTTTCCCTATATTCACCACACAAGCAGGAGTGTATCAGCTGTACAGTCCTCAGCACACACTTTCATAAAATGAAACCGTTCCATTACATGTTTTTTTGTTTTGTTTTTTCTACACACAGCCTACCTTAAAGTAGAACTTCAGGAGGAATGTTCTTAGAGTGTAGTAGTTAGGAGTCTGAAATATGAAAGTGTTTGTACTCTGCGAAGTAACTTGTACTTTGTAACTCATAATGACCTCTTATTGTCTGTACAAACTCTCAGGTCTTTACTGCTGTTTGTCTAGGAGTGTTTTGAGGATCATTGTTTGCTGTGTAGATGGGGCCCATTACAAATAGGCACATTAACTGTGTGGGTGGGGACACACAAACACACATGCTCATTACACACCGTGATATATTTCAAGCATTTCTTTATTTTAATTTTGAAGATTATGGCTTACAGCTAGTGAAAACCCAAAATTCAGTATATTTGGAAATTGCGGTCCCAGAGTCTGAAGGAAGAGTGGAGAGGCACAGAAGTTGCATGATGTCTAGTGTGAAGTTTCCAGTCAGTGATGATTTGGGGAGCCAAAGTCCAAGTCTAAAGTCAGTGCAGCCCTATACCAGGACATTCTAGAGCACTTCATGCTTCCCTCTGCTGACCAGGTTTATGAAGATGCTGCTTTATTTTCCAGCAGGACTTTGCACCTTTCTACACTGCCAAAAGTACCAGTACCTGGTTTAATAATCAAGGTATCATTGGGCTTGATGGGCCAGCAAACTTACCTAACCTTAACCCCATAGAGAATCTGCGGGGTATTGTCAAGAGCAAGATGAGACACTAGACCCAACAATGCAGATGAGCTGAAGGCCACCATCAAAGCAACCTGGGCTTCCATAACACCTCAACAGTACCACAGGCTGATTGCCTCCATGCCACTCTGCATTGATGCAGTAATTCATGCCAAAGGAGCCCTGACCAAGTATTGAGTGCATATTTCACTGTACATGGACATAATTTTCAGTAAGGCAACATTTCAGCGATAATCTTTTTTTTTTTTTTGGTCTTATGTATTCTAATTTTCTGCGTTATTAAAATTAGGCTTTTCGCTAGCTGTAAGCCATAATCATCAAAATTAAAAGAAAGAAATGCTTGAAACACATCAATCTGTGTGTAATGAATCTATATAAAATGAGTTTCACTTTTTGAATTTTATTACTGATAACTTTTTGATCATATTCTAATTTGAGAAACACCAGTACACTATATTTCCAAAAGTATAGGGACACCTGCCTTTACACACACATGAACTTTAATGACATCCCAGTCTTTGTCCTTAGGGTTCAATATTGAGTTGTCCACCCTTTGCAACTATAACATCTTCAACTCTTCTGGGGAAGGCTGTCCACAAGGTTTAGGAGTGTGTCTGTGGGAATGTTTGACCATTCTTCCAGAAGTGCATTTGTGAAGTCAGGCACTGATGTCAGACAAGAAGTCCTAGCTCGCAGTCTCTGCTCTAATTAGTCCTAAAGGTGTTCTATCACGTTGAGGTCAGGACACTGCAGCCCAGTCAAGTTCTTCCACCCCAAACTCGCTCATCCATGTTGTTATGGACCTTGCTTTGCGCACTGGTGCGCAGTCATGTTGGAACAGGAAGGGGCCATCCACAAATTGTTCCCACAAAGTTGGGAGCATAACATTGTCCAAAATGTCTTTGTATACTGACACTTTAAGAGTTCCCTTCACTGGAACTAAGGGGTCAAGCCCAACCCCTGAAAAACAACCCACACCACAATCCCCCCTCCACCAAATGTAACACTTGGCACAATGCAGTAAGGCAAGTACTGTTCTGGCAACCGCCAAACCCAGACACGTCCATAAGATTGCCAGACAGAGAAGCATGATTTGTCACACCAGAGAACATGTCTCTACTGCTCTAGAGTCCAGTGGCAGTGTGCATTACACCACTTAATCCAATGCTTTGCATTGCACTTGGTGCTATACGGCTTGGACGCAGCTGCTCGGCCATGTAAATCCATTCCATGAAGCTCTGTATGCACTGTTGTGCTAATCTAAAGGCTACACAAAGTTTGTAGGTATTTTAGCTATTGACTTCTGCGCACTGTATGCTTCAGAATGTGCTGACCCCGCTCTGTCATTTTACGTGGCCTACCACTTCGTGGCTGAGTTGCTGTTCCCAGTTGCTTCTGCTTTGCTAGAATACCACGAACAGTTGACTGTGAAATATTTAGTAGTAAGGAGATTTCATGGATGGACTTGTTGCACAGGTGGCAACCTATCACGGTACCACGTTTGAATTCACTGAGCTGCTACAAGCGACCCATTCTTTCACAAATGTTTGCAGAAGCAGTCTGCATGCCTAGGTGCTTGATTTTATACACCTGTGGCCATGGAGGTAACTGGAACACCTGAATTCAATGATTTGGAGGGGTGTCCCAATAATTTTGGCAATATATAGTGTAGGTGTGAATAGGGCCTTACCCCATTTACTATCAATAATGTAAGGGTTATGCCAGAACAGAGCTGCTTGCAGCTGGTCAGTTCAGTAACCCTTGCGTCTGCTGCATTCCCTTTAGGCTATAAGCTTGTGGTTGCTTCAGCAACCATGAACTTGTACCAGGGGGGTCCCATAGACTTGTGATTCTTGAATAACTGATCAGTGTTGGTCAGTCAATGGGAGCACATTTAACTAGCTGAGCTGTGAGATCAGATCTCCGATATGTAGGCCAAGATTGGAAGGATTTTCTGGTAAGCAAAGAGCGCTTTCTCAGCATGTTAGTTTTGTCTATTAACATCAAGTGGTGTAGTAATTTTTCAAGATCTTTCTATCCCGATGACAAGGGACTATAAAAGATGAGGTTGCAGCGCGTAAATAGATACCCAACATGTCAAATCTTAAATTTGTGTGCACCTGTGAAATGGCAACAAAAACTTCAGTACCTTATATTTTTTTATAGGCAATGCTTCAAAAGCCCCTACAGGTCATCAGTTTAGTGTTTTATGGAGGTTTTGTGCTAAAATTATTGCTCTCACTGTGGCGTGCGCGGCGATATGTAATGTGTATGGGCAATCAATGTTTTCATACATAGGCGACCCCGACACAATCGTTTATACGTGTGTGTATACAGTATGTAGGGATGGAGGCCTCGAACTGTTTTTTTTTTTTTATTTTATTGGGGGGATGTTATGTGCTTGGGTGTCTCTTCTGGGCTCCACTGGATATATTGCAATGAAGTTCGCATTGCAATACATTTCTCCCTGACTAGTGACAGCGGTGACCTGGAAGTGACGTCATACGTCACTTCCTGGGTCACAGGCGTTTTTCCACTCTCCTCTCTTCACTCCACCTGCCAGCACCCGCCATGTCTGCGCTGGGCCCCCATCCCATGTAGCTCTCTTTTTCAAATATTTGGCATTGCTAACCCAACTTAGTGTTATTATACTGCCATTGTGATTTGTACGATGTTGAATGAGCAAACTGCCTATGACACTATCATTGTCAGTCTTGTGGGAGCCTCAAAAGGTGAATGCTACCCACTGATGACTGTCGGTCCTGATTATGGGTTTGGCAAGCTTGTCTGCTTTTTAACTATGTTTCAAGGTGATTTACGGCCCAGTTTTAAGAATTTAATTTGAGAATGAGATGCATCACTTCATTAAATTTTTTTTTATGGTATGGCAGGTATGTGGCTTTATAATAGGGGATTATAGAATTTACCAGGCCTTTCTGGAAAGACACCGTTGGAGCTGTATTTCTTCCAATGTAAAGTAATGGCCTTGTGGGCATAAAACAGTAATATATTAAGTAGGGTTCTGTGCTTATCAGTCGGAACCACTCCTTCCACAAAGCCAAGCAAGCATACAACCACTGTCATTAGGATTGGCATAGTCAGGACTTCTGAGGTACAGTTAGTTACGTCTAACCAAAAGCTTTAAACGTTGCCAGAATATGTGGTTGAAATTAGCAGGAGAGTAAACACACCACCACCATTCACCGGAGCTTGATGGATATATTCCTGCTAATCTAGCTGGGGTGAGATACATTCTATGGAGAAATTTGAAGTAGATCAAATTATTCCTGGCAAAGACCACCTGTTTTGGTAATCCTACAAGTCCCGGTCCTTCCCTTGGAGATCTGGGATTTTGGTATTCCATTTAGCTCTGCAATGGGCTACGGAAGGTGGCGTAACTTGGAACAATTCCTTATTAACCCCTGACAAAGTCTTTACCAAAGAGTTGTCGAGGAGTAAAAATTCAATGGCCAAAAGCTGAGCCTGGTTCAGGAGGTAACATTTTGCCCCCCTAAACCATATCCCCCTCCCATTTTGATGCCTCGACTAGCCCACGACACCATGTCCAGGAGTGGAAAGAATTTTGCAAAAGGAAATTCATCATCCACAGAGGAGGAGGGGGGGAAACTACTGTCACAGATGGCTGCATTCATTTTTAAGCACTAGCCTACAGAGCACTTATACCCCCTTCCTGCCCAGGCCACTTTCCAGCTTTCAGCGCTGTCACACTTTGACAATTGTGCAGTCATGCGACACTGTAACCATATGAAATTTTTATCTTTTTTTTGTGTGACAGCTTTATTTTGGTGGTATTTAATTACCACTGGGTTTTTATTTTTTCTTAAACCAAAAACCACTGAAAATTTTGAAAAAAAAAAGTTTTTTTCCTAGTTTTTGTTATAAAATTTTGTAAATAAGTTATTTGTCTCTCACTGATGTGTGCTAATGAGGCTGCAATGATGGGCACTGATAGGTGGCACTGATGAGGAGGCACCGGTAGGTGGCACTGTTGGGCATTGACAGGCATCACTGATGGGCACTGAAAGGCAGCACTCATATATGGCACTGTTAAGCGGCATTGACTGGCACTGATAGGCGGCACTGATAGGTGGCACTGACTGGCACTAATGGGTGACACAAAGGCAGCCCAGATGGGCACTGATATGTGGCATTCATGTGCACTAGTAGGCACTGATATGTGGCATTGATGTGGTACTACTGACAGCTGGCACTGATGGACACTGACAGGTGGCACTGCTGGGGCTACACTGATGATCAGGGCACACTGATCATCAGTGCCCTAATGATCAGTGCACATGTCCCCTCTGAGGGACGCCGACTACCAGCTCTGCTCTCCTCTCGAGCTGTCAGCGTGACAGCTCGTGAGGAGAGAAATGCCGCTAACCGGCATTTCCCTATTTACATGTGATCAGCTGTGATTGGATACAGCTGATCACATGACCGAGCCGACATCTTCGGCTCTTTCCGTTGATCTGCTGTGTCCAAGGGACACAGCGCAACACTGATCGCCTCGCTGCACGCTTAGAATGGGATGACATCATATGACGTCCTCCCAGAACCAGAGAACCACCTTGCGCCTGTCATTGTACTATATGGCGGGTGGGAGGTGGTTAATTAAGCTCCCAGGAATTGATAGCTTTTATAGAGACAGTGAGGGGAAAAGTGGAATCCCTCTATAGAGGGCAAGCTGGAGACTCTCATAGGTGCCCAAAACCGAGTCCTCTTAACACTGGTGGAATCCCCATCGTCATCCTGTAGCCATCTGTGTGCAATCACCATCTGGCCTGCGAGATATTTCTGGAAATCAGGCAAAGTGGGCTCCCTTGTCCTCACAGTTCTTGCAATGCCTTCACACCGATATAAGATGATGAGGAGGACCAAAGGAAGGAGCAGATTAGGCTATTGATTTTTTTGAAGTATGCTTTGGGTACCCAAACAGAATTGGGAACCGGTTTTGGGCCTGGTGATTTGTGTGGTGTGAAGGAGCGAATGATGGAAAATGTAACCATAATTTGCCTTTCCTGACAAGCACCAGATGGATCTTCTTCTTCAAACATAAGTTTAGGCTCACTTTTCATACAGGGTGTAATCCAGATCTTCTGACCTAAGGTCTTCTGACTACCACTGGGCCAGAAACCCAGCTTGAAAGAGGGTGAGAGTTCAACCTTGACCTGCTGGAGCAATGCAATTTCTGTAGCTCAATATGAGACATGAAGGATGAAAGTTCTCCCACATATAGCTTGAAATGCTTGCCTTGAGGGACCATGCATCTGTTACCAAAGCTGTACCTATTTCAAAAGCAGAGCCACAAAGTGCCCATAAGACATGGATGGGTGGCACAATTGCAAAAATACCAGAAAGCATCCTGACATGGACCTCTTCATTGACTACTTGGTTTATGTACTGGCTTACCAGTCTTTACTGGACTCCCACCCAGAAATGCAGAAGCTAACCTTTCTGTAGCAAGTGTAGAAACTAACTCTTGTACTTCGGTCTCCTTTAACTCAACAGATGTTTATTTTGAGGCAGGAAGCCAAACTGACTGCTATTGATGCTTCACCTTCTAACATCAACAACAATGCAGTGATTGAGTACGTCCTTGAAAGCCACAGCATCTTCTAATGGTAAGGTCATGTATCTGGCCAATCCCATCAGGGACACACAACCAAAGGGGTGATTTCAAACCCTGGACACCTTCCGGTTCATATTTTGACATCCTACTTTAACAACATGCTCTAATCATCTTGTAGAATGAGTACTTGATTCAGTCACCATAAGGCTGTGTTTCTCAACTCCAGTCCTCATGGACCCCCCACAGGTAATGTTTTCAGGATTTCCCTCAGATGAAACAGCTATAGTAATTACTAAGGCAGTGAAACTGATCAAATCACCTGTGCAAAATAATGGAAATCCTGAAAACATGACCTGTTGGGGGTCCATGAGGACTGGAGTTGAGAAACACTGCCATAAGGGAATAGTCAAGCCATCCTCTGGAGGCATGAAGTACTTCCACAGCTTTGCTTCTATTTAAATGCATTTCACAACCCTTACAAAAGGAGGAATCAAAAACCTGGACAAAGGTTGTCATCTTGTACAGAAGAAGATTGATTGGTTTGAGAAGGCTCTGAGACCAGTTTTTAGTGGCTCTGAAAGAAAGACTGGACATTGTCAGAATAGAAGGCCCTTGCAGCAGGTAAAGTCAGCAATTCCTTTAGGCCTCCTTCACACCATATGTGCAGAAAAATTGATGGAAACTGATGCGCAGATTTCACTTGCAGAGACATCAGTTTTCATGGGCACTTCAATGAGTTTTATACATGTTGCAGATTCCTGCACATAAAAAGTCTGCACATGATACTAGTGTTGTGGTGTGAACAGGGTACATAGAGAACAATTGAGTTTGTTGTACTCTTGCAGAACGTATGCAGAAAAACTGACATCTCTGCACCATGGTGTGAACGAGCTCTTAGAATGTCTTGACCACAAACCTAATTAATTGGAAGAGTCTGAAGAGGATTGTTTGAAGAGCTAGGAGACTGCTCATTAATAGAATAGATCAGCCTTTTCAACCAGGTTGCCTCAGGGGTGCCTTGGCCATGTTGACAAATTGTATACAGGCCAGTGTGTGGATCAAGCCTGCCTTTTAGTTAAAACAAAGCCACAGGTTTTAATTATGCACCATTACAACTTTCTGGCCACCAGTATCCTAACAACCAATTTTTTTTAAGTCCGCGGAGGTGCGAAAAACAAAAACCCATAAGTGAACAAAAAAAATGTGCAAGTGCAAAACACAAACATAAAAGTGCACTTAGGGGTGTGCTTTAGTTCACCTCCCGAAGGGGTAGGAACTCTACCCTGACCCCCCCCCCAGGGCCCAAGGCTCCTGACAGGAACAAAAGTTTCCATATTGTCCACCTAGCCAAAATGCCTGGCAGACCACTTTCCTTGTGGCTAGCCAAAGCCAACCACAAAGTACTAGGTCAGGGAGCCCTCCCAAAGAGAGACCCCCTCAGGTACAGGGGAGGAAGGAACCTAATGGCCACACATCCTCCCCCTAGACTTAAGGGCAGGCTCGAGCACCCACACTCTCCAACCTAGTGAGAAAAAAACCATACAAAAGTGAAAGATGACAAAACAGTGGGTAGAAAAAATAAATGTATAAAGGTGCAGTGCAGAAAAAGTGTTTGGAACAGTGACCATGTGCACTTTTCACACTTGGGTTCCCACCTCCATTTGTTACTAAGAGCGCTCCTGAGGTGACCACTTTCAGGGGGCACTGCTCCATGGGCTCTCTGCCTACCCGGCCCTTGGCCAAACAAGGTAGACACATTCAAATTAGGAGGAACTGGGCCCCTCCAGTTTTCCCGGGGAATTACTCCTGGGCCCCAACAGCCTGTGGGCGCCTCGGTTTCTCTTCCAGCCAGTACTAACCTTTAGAGCCCCCATCTTACCAGCAGGGCCAGCCATCTTCGCCTAAAAGGAAGAATGATGGTGGAGCATCCCTACTGGACACTGATAAGAACAGATACTACACTTGATCTTAGCCAAAAGGCAAAGCATCGTAACAACCAATGACATGATCAGTTGATAAGGACTTCAGGAGCCAACATAGCATCCTTGTTTGCCCCTCCCCTGCCCCCTTCGTCAGCACTAGGATCACATTCGAGTGAGACAAACATTTGAATATTATTCAGTACCAGCGTGCAAAGGCGTGTTTGCTTTGGAAGAATAAATCACCTCTAACGGGTGTCCTACGTGTTTGAACGTTGCTGCTTTATAGAATATTTTGAAGTGTCCCTTGACTGAGAGGTTGAAAAACACTGGAATAGATAACCCCCTTCACAGGGTGAGTGGAAACACTCATTTAGAGTGTATTGGCCTCATGTGACAACCTGTTAGGTGTCATCTTTATCCTTGGTTTCTTGAAAAACGCAGTATTCATGCAGTCATGTCCATCCGCATTGTCCTCTTTGAAAACTGAAGAAGGCTGTTTCACTTGGGAAGGCTAGGCAGCTTCTCGTTGCCATAGCAGATAACCCTTTAAAAGGGTGAGTGGAAACCACTCCTTCAGAGTATTGACAACGTGTTTATTGAATGTGACATCCTGTTAGGTGTCATCTCTATCTTTGACTGCTTGAACCAGCAGGATACAGTCATGCTCATCCACATCTTCCTCTTTATAGAGTCTGAAGAGGGCTGCTTTGCCTGGGAAGGCTTGCTCATTGCCAGAACATATAACCCTCTTGCAGGGTGAGTGGAAACAACGCCTTTCAAGTGGATTGGCCACTTGTTTAATGAATGTGACAACCTGATAGGTGTCACCATCCTCATCTATGGTTGCATGAACAAAGCAAGATTCATACAGTCATGTTCACCTGCATCATTCCCTTTGAAGAGGCTGTTTTCCCTGGGAAGGTTATGAGAGTGGTCATTGCTAGAACATATATCCCCTTCACAAGGTGAGTGGAAACACTCCTTTTGAGTGTATTGGCAATTTGTTTAATGAATGAGACAAGCTGTTCGGTGCCATCATCCTCAGCTCTGGTTGCTTGAACAAAGCAAGATTCATAATCATGTTCATCTGCATCTTCTTTTTTGAGAAGTCTGAAGAGGGCTGTTTTGCTTGGGAAAGTTCTGAGACTGCTCATTGCCAGAATAGATCATCCTTTCCCAGGATTTTGACTGCTGCTTAGCAAAGCAGCTAAAAAACATTTTAATGCAGTAGAAAATAACTTGCTTAGTAACAAACCCTAAAGGGTTAACTGGTTAACTATTGCTAGAGGCAACCCTAAAGGGTTAACTGGTTAACTATTGCTAGGAGGCCGAGATTGTAGCCCTGAGCATCACCAGGTGTTAATGAACCAAACCTTGCCCTGCCAGAGAGCAGGATATGATGACAAAGTTTTGTTCAGAAGAGCAACAAAAAGGTAGGAATCTGCAACAAAATTACAATAATATTTTGCAATGTACACAAACCACCCAAGGGAATTGTTGACATCATAAAGACCTTTTTTTTCTGTGGCTGAGAAACTGGAGAGCATAACAAATATAAAAGGATGTCCTATACTCCACCAGGCAATAGCTGGCAGTAGTCATCAACAGGTGACTCCTCTACCTTCTCTGGGAATGCTGGTCTTTTGAGAGGGTTGGCATAATGGCACAATAGTGAAGCAAACATGAGAAGCAACTAACAGGTTAATGCTATGTGTGCACAAAGTATTACTTTGTGCACCTGTTATGCAGAGTACTACTCTGGTATGCACAGCGGCTGCAGGGAGCAAGGTATAACAATACTGAGCAATACAGCATTCATTTTGGATACAAAGCATT